CTCACATTCGACGATCGCATTTATGTGCCGAACTACGCCGATGCTCGGCTGAAGATCATGAAGATGCGACATGACTCAGCCTTGGCCGGTCATCCGGGTTCGGCGAAGACTCTTGAACTAGTCCTGAGGGATTATGTCTGGGTTGGAGTAAGGAAGGATGTCGAAGATTATGTTGCTGGATGCGCGGTATGTCAGAGAGCGAAGACTAACAGACAGAAACCTCATGGGGAGCTTAAACCACTGGAGGTAGCTACGAAACCTTGGTCTAGCATCTCGATGGATTTTATCGAGGAGCTGCCAAATTCCCATGGATATAATTCCATCCTGGTAGTGGTGGATCGGTTGACCAAATGGGCCATTTTTATCCCGACTACGACGAAGTTAACCGCAGCCGGCCTATCAGAGTTGATATTGGACTATGTGGTGGCCCAGCATGGGTTGCCAGAGAATATAGTATCGGACAGGGGATCGAAGTTTACCTCCAAGTTCTGGAAGAATTTGACCGATAGTCTCGGAATAAGACTACATCTCTCTACTGCATATCATCCACAGACTGACGGACAGACCGAACGAACCAACCAGTCTTTGGAACTGTATCTTCGAATCTTCACCTCCTATCAGCAGAACGACTGGTCAAAGCTACTCGCTCGAGCTAGCTTTGCTTACAACAACACCCAGCACTCTGCGATAAACAAAACCCCATTCTATGCGAACTATGGATATCACCCTCGTTGGGCTGAAGAGATAAAGGCTAGCGAGGTCGAAGTGCCCGCTGCTACGGTGGTGGTAAAAGATTTGACTGAAATACACAAAGATTGTATCGAAGGAATTGAGAAAGCTAATGAGAAGTACGCCGAAGGATACAATAGGAAACACCGGACTACGCCGAACTTCGCGGAAGGAGACCTAGTGATGCTGTCGTTAGAGAATATTAAGACGAAGAGACCAATGAAGAAGTTAGATGTTAAGCAAAGTGGGCCGTACAAGGTAGTACGGCAGGTAGGTTCTCATGCTTGTAAATTGGAATTACCAGGAACGATGGCAGGTATCCATGATGTATTCCATGTCTCCTTGCTCCGTCCTTATCACCCTCCAATATTTCCTGGTCAGCAAGCTGAGCCACCTGGGCCAGTAGAAGTAGACAATGAGGGAGAGTCTTGGGAGGTAAAGGATATTGTGGACTCTAGAGTAAATAAGAGGTCAGGAAAGTTAGAGTACTTGGTAGAGTGGTTAGGTTACGAAGGAACAGACGATTCAGTATCATGGGAACCAGTGGAGAACGTCGATGGAGCTGATGACATATTGGCGAAGTTCCACGAACTTCACCCTACTAAGCCGAAGGAAGGGCGACTGCGAAGGACTAGGAGATAGAACGTACTGCATACAACATAGGATTACAGCTACGTACCGCTCACTTGTCCTTACTCTTACCCTTACCTTTTCCTTTTCCTTTCTCCTTCGATCTACTCGGTCCCGCGGGATTGGTGTGGAGGCTACCGATGACCGAAGGTAGGTCGAGAGTCTCAGACGGGAACGCAGTAGAGAGAGAAGCATTCCATGCCCGATTCATAGCCCCAAAGAAGTCACCGAAGTCCTGGACATCTCGAGCAGCTTGCATGCTCGGGGTCCTCCACAGAGAACGTATGGTCCGTAGACACTCGAAGGGAAGACTGAGGAGGTCGAGGGCAGTCTGGGCGGAAGCTGGGACACGAGAATTACTACGGCGACCTAACCAGTCAAGGGACGGTGGTGGCTCATACGCCATAGGAGTGACTAGGAAGGGGGTGTCGAACAGTCTTCGGCGAACATCGGCTATCTCAGTAAGGCTTCGGCGAGAGACGGCCGCTAACCTTGTCCTTGCTTCGTCGTCCAGAGCCCCAGTGTTGACTACATCTACTAACGCCGCAGTAAGATTGTTTAAAGCGTTAGCTTGACGAGAAGAGAAGTCAAGCAGGAGAGATGTATCATTTCGGGCGGCCTCAAGCTGAGTAGTGAGACCGAGGACGAGAGAACGATAAGTGGCGAATTCCTTTTCGTCTTCAGGAATACGGACGTCCAGGGAGATACGAGGGTGGACGAGGGACAACCGGGGAGCAGAGGGACCAGCACGCTGAGTATCTTCATTTTCCACATCACCATCATTGAAGGCAACCTCCTTCTCTTTAGATTTCCCTTTTGATTTCTTTAAAGAAGACTTCGGTGTCTTCTGGGAAGCAGAGGGAGGGGTGACGGGAGGGGCCGCCGAAGAGGCCGGAGGAACAGAAGGACGCCGACTTCGGGTGCTGTGAGCCGGAGGAGAAGCTACCACTGGAGAGGACGGACGTGGCGCCGAGGGACGAGAGGCCGAAGGACGGGAGGCCGAAGGAGCAGAGGCCGAAGGACGGCGAGAAGACGAAGGAGGAACAGCCGGGAGACGTGATGGGCCGGCCACAGGAGCGAAGGGCGACGGCGACGGAGGCGACGGGCGGAGGTCCGGCGAAGTACGGCGAACCGACCGGAGAGACGAAGACGGTACCCGCGAACGGGGGACAGACGCTGGAGTCTGGGGAGGGGGGAGAGGAGAAGCGTCGAAGGGACGGGGCGGGATGTCCCGGGCAGAGGAAACGGGACAGAAGGAGCAGGGGCCAGACGTGCATGAAGCACAACGGAGGGCCTTGTTGTGTGGCCTGACTGCCTTGAGGCAGGGCCAGTTTGGACGATTATACGTGATAATCTCACGTCTACTGATTAGCAGGAGTAACTTAGGCGTAGTACGAATAGGTGGACTCACCGGCAACGATCACACGCTTCGTCAACACCAACCGCGATCCAACGACCAGGCTCGGACTTCATCTTCTCCCACAAGTACTCTTCTTCCCGCAGTGATCTCTTCACCCGTTTGGGCGAAGGCTCCCCTCTGGGAGAAGGGGGGGGAGCAGCGACAGGGGCGGCGGGAGCAGGACCGGCGGCGGCAGCAGCGGCGGCAGCAGCGGCGGCAGCGGCGATGGCGTTGGGGGGGGGGAGAACCCCGGAAGAGGAAGAAGAAGAGGAAGAAGAAGAAGAGGAAGAAGAAGAAGAGGAGAGGGAACGGCGTCGTTTCTGGCCCACAATTTGAGCAGGGGGAGGGGCAGGAGCGGCTGCGAGTTAGCAATGTCTTGGAGAGCTAAAGAACAGATAAACAAGGCCAAGTTCGGCGAAGGTGTGAGAGGTTGGACGAAGAACTCACGCTCAGGACTATCTACGTTGTTGTCCTCTACACTAACCGCCACCATATCATCATCCGAGTGTTCCTCTAACTCGGTTTCACCCTCCGACACGATTCTATCATCCTCATCACTATAATCACCCCCTTTTCCTTCGAAGTCTGACTGATCGTCCGACTCCGAACCACTGAGCGACTCCTGGTCGGAGGAGGACGGAGACTCACCAGGACGAAAGGCGGGCGTCCTGCGGCGAGGGCTGGCGGCAGGAGGGGAAGCAGAGCGAGAACCAGGAGGAGGAGAAGCAGAGGGAGAACCAGCGGGAGGACCGACGGGAGGAGAAGCGGAGCGAGGAGGCGGGACATCGCCAGACGGCTCCCCCAAAGAGAGGGTGCCGAGGCCGAGGGAGGAGACTTGGCGAGATCTGTCGCCGAAGGAAACTGAACATCAGCCAAGTCCGGCGAAGTAAGGTAAGTGTCGAGGAATAACTCACGAGCAGACGACACCATACCACCAAAGTTCCTCATGGCGGCGAAAGGGTTAGAGGTGGGAGTAGGAGGGGCCATGACGTTAAAAAATACTTAAAGAAATAAAAGATGATTCAAGATGGGAAAAAGAGAGAAGCTCGGCGAACTGCTCAGTATTTAGTATAATCAAACCTAAACCCTCGTCGTCAACATGCGGCAAACTTCGCGTTTCATCAACAAAAGGCATCGCAGGGACGATCAAAATTCCCACGCTATAGTGTCTCATCTCAATATAAGCGAGGGTTACTTCGACAAACAACGGTGTTGTTCGGCTGCCATTCAGGAAGCGTGTCTCACCTACAAAAGACACAGGGCTTCTTACGGCAAACCTCGACGAAGTTAGGGGAGTCTCATTGTCGGGTTTTGGAGTGAAAGGAGGCCCAACTACGAAGTGCGGCGCAAAGAGCAGAAGGGTGAAAGATGGTCATGGGGAGGGAGAGAATGGGGTACTACGCTGCTAAGTTCTCTTGACACGACAGAGGTGTAATCGCTCACGAGGACGTTCGCGGCTAAAGAAGGGGGCGACTGTCACGAACTACGTCGTGACACCTCGATTATTCCACCAACAATGACCCTCCTTTGACCATCAAAACCCCCATCACGTCTTAACCTCTTTACTCTACACGTAACTCAGGACTTCTGAGACCAAGTACGGCGAAGTTAGACGGAGTTAGGCTAGGTAGGGACAATGGGAGCAGAAGTACGGCGAAGTTAGACGGAGTTAGGCTAGGTAGGGACAATGGGAGCAGAAGTGCGGCGATGTTAGGCGGAGTTAGTCTAAGTAGGGACAATGGGAGCAGAAGTACGGCGAAGTTAGACGGAGTTAGGCTAAGTAGGGACAATGGGAGCAGAAGTGCGGCGATGTTAGGCGGAGTTAGTCGAAGGAGGAAGAGGATGGCCGAGGGCTCGGGGAAGTTGGACGAAGTGCGTTGAAGTACGTCAAAGCGCGAGAGGGTTGGATGAACGTCTAGGAGGAGTAGATAATATTAGCTGAGAAGATCGCTGAAGTTCTTCAGCGATCCTTGATTGTTGTCAGTAGTAAAAGACAGATAGAGATAGCTATAAATCAAGATACATCGCCATCAGTAGATCAAAACCCTAGTTAGAGTAACTACGCCGAAGTACGCCGTAGTTACACCCCTTTCGACGTCTGCGCCCTCCCTGTTGGGTGAGACATCGACTCAGAGCGTGAAGTTAGCCGAGGTTCGTCGACCGTCGGTCTATTAAGAAGTAGTTGTTCGACGGCCGTGACACTTGGAAGGCTGGAGAAACCACCTGGACAGAGGGGTCGGTAATGGGGACTAATGCTGCTCTTGAGAAGAGACTAGCAGAGCTTCAGGAGACGGTTGCTGGCCTGACTAAGAGTATCCAGGAGGACAGAGATAAAAGGGAGACTCAAAATCGGCCTGGAATGGTGAGGACAGAGGACAGGATGGTGAGGACAGGAGAAATGATCACTAGGACAGGTTATTCGGTGGGTTTCTCATATGATAATCACATTTCTCCTTCCCTCCTTCTCCCCCTCTCTGTCCTGCAGTCATTCCTGGCTATATTGCTCTGTCTCTGTCTATATTGCTCTGTCTCTGTCTATATTGGCCTCACGATCTCGAAAATTTTCAGTCTCTTACTTCTAAAAGTTTCCTGCAAGCTGATTGGTCCAGGAGACACCAGGAAATGGCCAATATCAACCAAATGTGAGTCTCTAATACTGCATTTTCGGCTGTATCCGATGGGGGGTCTCTAATGAACAGGTACCCCCATTTTTCGACGTTTATCCTCCTGAGGAGAGGTATCTACCACCCCCCCCTCTTCCACCTACTCTCCCTCCTCTATCCTCTCAATATTGGCCTCCCTATCCTTCCCAGGGGTCTTCTAGGCATCCCTATGGCTCATATTATCCTCCTGGACATTGATAGATAGGAGAATGCATGGACAATGACCGGAAATGACATGGTATAGCTAATAATGACATTGACGATGTAAGAGAAGAGTGAGCAATCAGACATCGCGGGGTTTTGGTAACGCCGAGGCCTATGTGTACCTGACCACGTGTTGTGGCAGGTTGTGCCCCGATTACACTAGGGTTGTGCCCGAAGTGGCTCTCCTACTGAGGCCGACGACGCGTCTCGCATGAATAAATCAGGGTCATGGGTCAGGCCGCAGGCGATCAAAGCAAAGGACCATCCCTTCCGTCCGATTATGGCAACTTTCCCTTCCTTGGTTGCCCCCATCCTTCACCTGCCATGCCTTCACCCTCTCGTCGTATGTACGAAAACGGAACATCTGCTCAGTCGATCAGTCACAAAGCGACGAGCGATTGACAGGTGACGGTTTTTCAAGGGAGGGACCAAATCTGTTTCTGTTTTTGATGGGACCTCATGTCTTGATGGCATGGCTCGATGCGATAGGTGATTGATGTGTGAAGGAAGAGGGCGTAATGACTTTACTGACAAGCTTCCGAAGTCTCTTTTTACCTGATATATAACTTGAATCTGATCTCAAAATATCGAACAGGCCAAAGAAAGTACACTTCTTCAATCCGTCAGCCATCGACTTCCTTCACTTCTTGAACTGACCACGTAGATTCTGGTCGATTCAAAAGAAAATTACAACAATGAACACTCCAGTATCTCAAGAACGATCCATCTCGAATGACCCATCATCCTCTACCTCATCCTCATCTTCCACTTCTACACCTACGTCTCCATTTTCTCCCTGTCAATCATCTGAATCTTCCATTCCTACCATTCCGAAACCTGTCATACTCAGTAATAAAAAATCAACAAGTTCTATCAAACGTAAACCCGTCCCTATTTCTCAAGAAGATATAACCCTTCAAATAACATCTTTACAAGGAACCATCCCCTCTATCTCTACTTCCGTTACGGAGAATTCATCAAATGAGATCCCACCACCAATTTATGTCCTTCCTATCGACCCTCCCAGACTATCACAGGAGTCAAATACATCATTACCTCCTTCTTATATCGGCGCACCGGTTGAAACACGTGAAGACGAACCGGCGGAGAGATTGGTAGAGCCACAAGTGGTAGGAATGGGTTTAAATAGGGATATGTCTTTTGAATCTTTACCTACTTATGCCGAGGAGAATCAGACAGAGTCAAATACGTTAGCTACGGGTTTATGGAAATATGGGTTTTTTTGTCCTTTGTTATGGATTATAGGAACTTGCATGTGAGTCATCATCCTTCTTGCCTTCTTTCTCTCTTTCTCTCTTCTTTTTGATAACCCTACTCTCTCTTTTTCTTTTGATAACCCTACTCTCTCTTTTTCTTTTGAGGACTCTACTTTTTTCTTGACTTTATCCTTTCTCTCTTCCTTCTGATGACTTTGCTTTTTCATATTTTTCTGGCAAGACCACTCCGGCAGAAACCCATTTTTCAGTGTACTCGTAATGAAACCCGACTGACTCTTCTCCAGACTCTGCATCCCTTTAACCCCACCAGAAGAAGAAACCGACCCAGAGAAAGCTCAAAAGGTGCAAGAGATCATCACTATTCTCAGAGCTGTAAGTGATCGCTTTTCACCCGAATCAGATTCTTCTCGCACATGCAAGTTTTGCTCCACTCGACCATCCATCTGATGTTCCCCTACCAGCTCAACCCACTCACATGCTGTCCACATCGTCAAGTCCTCCGCTCTTTTCCTCTTCTTACACTAGTAGCGTCCCTTCTTACTAGACCCATCCGACCAGTGCCATATCATCAGATCTAAAACTGACCGTCAGACCGAATTGAAATACGCCAAACGTTGCGCTTATAGTCTTGCCGCTTTCGTCCTTCTCATCGCCATCATCGTCGTCATTGTAGCTGTCGTCGTTTCCCGTTAGATCATAGGTGTACTACGTCTCTTCTCCTACTCTTTTTCTTGGAAACCGCGGTGTTATGTTTTTGCATGTTTATGAATGTCCGATTCTATTGGCTTCATTTGTACAGATGAACATTCATGCTTACACGACTTGTCAAGCTACATGTCAAGTCCAAGATTAAATAAAAAATTCTTAAGATACACTGATTCCCCTTACGAATCGTCATGGATTAACCAAATTTATGTACGGGTTCACTTTCTGATCTACTTGATCGATTCTCTTCACCTTCATTTAACAGCAACTCTTCCACTTGACCTTGCCATACCCCGATTTCCATACCTGGTTCCCAACCTGTTTCATCTTCCTCATCCTGCCTTTCCCTATCGTCCCCTTTCACGTTGAAAGAACCACGTTGGGGCATTTGTACCATCACTGCAATTCTTAACATTTCCCCTGAACCAATTCCCCTATCTAACTCTTTCATCGGCTCTGGTCTCGCTGGAGGAGGTGATCCTTCAGAATTAGGATCTGGTCTACGTCGATGAACGAAATTCGACAGACCAAGTGGTGGAGGACGAGGACGAGGACCCATTCGACGTAATTGGAAAGGTGTGGTACCGATTTGATCTTCATCTATCGATTCGGAAATGAGAGGAGTTTCAAGAGGTTTAAGAGAATGTAATGTTAAAGGCTAGACAAATTAATATATTCTCTCCCTTAATCATTCAAGTATTTTGTGAAGAAACATACCTCAAAATTCCACGAGTCATGATGAGAGGACTCTCGTTCTTTCTCAGGTAAAGGTATCGCTTCGGATAATCGTGGTATTCTATCCCATTTCGTTTTACGTCCATCTCGTCGTACTGCCCACTCTTCCGTCCCAGGAGAATTAGTGAGTCGATCTAAACCTTCCTGTGTCCATGCGCTCAAACCACCAAGACCCCAATAATCATCTCTCACATCCGGCAAAGGATCCCCGCGAGCAATAGCACGTTGAGTTGCAGATTGATATCGACGTCGTAAGCGGAAAGCTCGAAAACCTAAACATGCCGCCATGCAAAGAAGTACGACGAGAACGCCGAGGAACTGAAGTAAGTTATGTATTGTACTGTAATCATGTCCAGCGTCTCTCTGTAAGAATCGATAGTGCCATGAACGATGATGCATGATGTTTTCACCATTAGAAGATGAGGATGATATATTCTGTAAAGGAAAAAAATCAGGAGGGAAATGATCGCACGTCATTTTGCATGATTTTCAAAGAAAATGGTGTGAAAGGTTGAAGAAATGGCGAGGTACAATTAAGACACTCACAACTAAATAATAAACGTTGGGACCATCACCAGGAGGATTAGACGGATTGGAAGAGCTTGATGTTGGGAACAAGGCTGTATTGGTGTTCGTACCCGAGCCGGATGAAGAGTCGGTGGCTGTCGTGCTCATGACGTTTGGGTCAGAACCAAGGTTCCGTCTGTCGAGATTTGCATCGGTCCGAAGCGAGAGATAGGGATTGGAGATGAACAGCTTGGATGAGGTGGATTATGGATCGGGAGAACGATGTTGAATGAGAAGATTGAGAGAGCAAAGGAAGGTAGAGTAGTCAGAGTGAGTTAGGCAGACGAAGACGTTGGGCGTGGTCTATTTTTGGTTCCGTCAGCACAAGGAATTCAGGCACCAAAATAGCGGAACACGACGTCACAGCAACCAGAGTAACTATCCTGCTCAAATAGCTACACATTCCATCCATCTTCCCTTCTATCAACCCAATATCAGCTCACCACACAAACCAACACTCATCATGTCATCCAGTACCAGTCATGATACCCCTTTTCCCCTCGTCAAGGCCGATCAAATCGCTCAATCACTCGTACCCCACTCTCACTTTCTCTACCCCAAAGCCAACATCAACATCGCTCGAATGTCCGATATGGGTATGTCCTCTTGACCAATTTGTCCATCGCTAATATTGAAGTGGGTATGTCAGGTTTAGGTGTCAATTTTGTCAAACTTGACCCTGAAGCAGAATCCACCGTGAGTCGCAGTGCATGCTGTCCCACACAACACCTGCTCTGACTTCGCTGACCTTAGTGCATTCATTATCATTTGATCGACTCTGAATGGATATACGTTTTAGCTGGATCAGGTGTTTTACAACTTGTAGATGCTGGTATCACCGTTTATGATTCTCGTCAACAAATCAAAGACGCAATGGCTTCTGAATCGTCGTCGGCAACCCCAAGCGGTACGTTCCTAAACCTTGTAACCTACCCACGGCTATGAAGTGGTATTATGCTGAAATTTGATAGTACTTTCAGATGATTCATCACCTGTTAAGCATACCATCACTGAACATCTCATATCAAAAGGAGATTTCATGGGGTTCCCAGGTGGTCTAGGTTCTCGAAAATACGCTCATGGTTTGAAAGCTGGTAAAGATGGTATGGAGTACTTGGTTGGAGGTACTAGAAATAAGAATGATGTATGTTGTTACCCACTGTAAGTCCTTCTTGTCATCTTCCTTTTCCGTTACGCTGTCTTCATCCCTTCCACCACCTACCTCACCCTTCACCTTCTATCCTCTTTACATGTAATCATTTCATACGGCGTATCACGTAAGTTGGCTCCAAACATCGTGGACAGAATTCAATATGAGGTGTAGACTAGCTTCAATTTCCCATGGGGATCATTAGTCAAAATCAAAATTTTTAGCTCGATTGATGATCTCAGCGCTGGCAAAACTGTCGCATACGACAAATTCGACTTTGGCGCTATGCTTCTACCTGGTCAGACCAAATCGCGATATTGATTCCCAAAAAAACAACCTATCTTCTCAAACCTCTGTCATCGACCATTCATCCTTAACACCCCTCTCAATCATATGAAATCTTCCGACTATCCAGAATCCTCGGATCTTGACTTTTGCCGATGTATCATAATCTTCCATGATGATAACCACGACTCTCTCTTCGGCCTTTCGGCCAAGCGGCAAACGAACGTAACGCATGGTGCGAACCGTGTGTACGCTTCGGAGACACATCACGATCATAGTATATTTACATGAATATGTACATACACTTCTTTGTTTTCACTCGTTCACATAACAATCTAAGATGTCTGACGAACGATCCAACCTTTCTTTATTAGTGAAAGCTGATGCGATTTCCAAGGCGTTGCATGATGAGTCACATCCTTTGTATCCAAAGTCGAAAACAAGTACGGCGCCAATTTCCGATATGGGTAAGTCTACCTTCTCTTTATCTCCCCTCATGATCTCGTCAAAAACTATCAGGTCCAATGTGATTTATATCTTTTCATCACTGTGAAGCATATCGGGCGGACGGATAAACTGTGCTTGTACGCTTTGAATGCGTCGTACAGATCCAAATCCCCTGCCAGGGAGGATATTGGAAGAGATGGAAGAGGGGCTGAACTGTACCTTGTAGCTGGAATGAAAGACTTGGGTGTACATTTTGTCAAGCTTGAGCCTGAAGCTGAATCTACCGTAAGTTTTCATGTTTCTATTGACATCTTTTATTACACATTCCCCTATGTAACATTCCCCTGTGTCATATATCATATCCTATGAACACAACGATTCATTCTAGTCTTGGACACAGCTCCACCAACAAACGTTTTTACTTTGAGAGCCGAGGGAAGAGCTGACCAAATAGTGTATTCATTGGCATTTAGTCGATTCAGAATGGATCTACGTCTTATCAGGTTTCGGAGTTTTACAAGTGGTAGATGCCGGAATACCAGATTGGACGTCTAAAGAAGAAATGGTTAAAGCTGTCATGTCACCTAAATCCGATGAGAGTGAGTCTTCTTCTAAGTACTAGCTCATGATCATCGGTTCTTGATCACGTTTCTCCATGTCATTCGTCAAAATGGACGATTCGATGAGTGACATCGTTAGGTATATGATAGATATTTAGAATAAGATACGAAAAGTAACTCGTTAGGTATATGATAGATATTCAGAATGAGATACAAAAGTAATTCGACTGGATTTCGCTGGATGGATCAGAGAGAAAGGGAATTACCAAATTTGTCACACGCTGACAGGAAGAGCCAAAAATTGAAATCGTCGAACACGTCATCAGTACTGGAGATTTCATGGGATTCTCAGGTGGAGTAGGAGCTCAAAAACATGCTCATGGTCTTAAAGCTGGAAAAGATGGTATGACTTATTTGGTAGGAGGTACTAGATCTGGGAAAGATGTATGTTATTACCCATTGTAAGTGATCCTCACCCCACATCTCTTTCAATCCCCCCTCCTCACTCTAGGGAATGTTAGGGAATGTTAGAGACATCGGTTTACCATTCAGAGCTGGTCAAGCCATAGCGAGACACTCCAATCCATTTCACGCAATGTTTCTTCCTCCTGGTCCTACACCGGAGAATTAATCAATCCCAAATTTAACCTCTGGAGATCCAACTCGGGGAGTGCAGTGGTCATGGAGATACTCATACAAACGACAGTATCGTAATGAGACAATAGCATGCAGATGTATATTCTATTCGTATTTGATTTCAACAGTGAGTGAAAATGGTAAACCTGGGTCTGTGACTACAATTTGAGATCCGTTTGGTAATAACGCTGAAACGAGTTTGTCGAGATTTGGACGTGTTTTCTCATATAATTGTGGAGGAGCTTGAAAGAATAATGGTTGACCTGTGGCATGGGCCAGTGAAGGTCGAGAGATTTGACTGAAAAGTCAACATGTCTCATCGGTGTGTTAATTTTTGATGTTTCGAGAACGGGGAAAAGTGTGTGAAGTGAATGAGGAAATCACTAACAGATCTTGTCGCGCGCTCAGCCACTCGACCAGTCTTTCCAACGTCCATTCCTTTTCTATTTGAGCTGTAATGTTTTCACCTCCACAAACTGGACACTCGGGTCGTCTCTCATGTTCGAATGTGAAAGTGTATATAGAGTCATTACCAGTGTACTGCAATGTCAACATCCATATCCATATCGATTCTATTAGATTAGAGTCTGAGAACATACCATCATGTAATTATTCAGTGACGGGGCACATGTCGTGGCGAGTTTGAACGCTTCGTTACAGCATGACGCTGACAAATCAGCCATGGTCATATTTTATCATTTCGATATCACTTTGTGGAGTTTAAGACGAAAAGAAACGTACCAGCAATGATGGCGTTGGTGCTGGCAATGGCCGGGATGATATTCTTCACCACTCCTTGTGTTAGAGACCAAGTGACTCCCTCTATGTTGAACTCTGCGGCTCGTGTTGATGCTTGTTGATATAACCATTCGATATGTTCAGGATCATCAGTGTCAAGTTTCTTGTCTGGATGCATCAGTCACTACTCGCTCTCTCTCTCTCCTCAAGCGCGTTGTTAGAGGTGAATGTGAACAAGTTCAACTCTCACCTTTGAACACTTTTGGCCATTCCAGCACTGATGCCCATTCTATGCAGTGTTCCGGTAGTCGAGGAGTGTTCGCAATGGTACAAATGGGGAAAACAGTGGGAGGAGTAAGCATATCGATCTACAAACATCAGCGGTGCAATATCCCCAAATAAATATGACTCACCGAACATTCGTAACACGAAGAAATAGTAGGGAGGATGACTCGAGCTTGACCCTTGAATCCTAGAAACTCAGCAGTCTATAAGTTGAAAGTGACCTAGGTTCACCTACCCTCTGTCCCACCATCAATCAAAGGTTTTAAACTATCTGGATTCTCCTCGTCTACCATCTGCACCAATGTGGCATTTATCCATCTTCGTGCAGATATCGAATCCAGTCCAGCGATGATGATATCAAATTGCATGTAGAAGGATGGAGGATGATCTTGAATCTTGCCGTGATATCTTCGCCGATTAACTTTATTCTTGAGGATAGCAGCTCGACACTCACGGTGTGACCTTGACACCAGGCACTCTGGTCATGACGAACTCTGCTGCAACTAGGGCTTTAGATTTACCCACGTCTGTTTCTCTGTCCAATCAGTGTTTACAGATAAAACTTGGAGAGAAGTATACGCACCTGAAGAGAAATTGTCGGTTGAGATTGGAAATATCAATAGTGTCCATATCTATGACAAAGATATCATTGAAACCAGCTAATAGGTAAGCTTCGATGATATAATGTACAATGACATACTCAAAGCGAGGTTTTGTAAGATTTCGCAGCCCAAACCACCAGCACCTATGACAAGGATTTTGGCCTTAGTCCTTAGGACATCTTTCGTCTGCAGTGTCAGAATATCCCAGCAATGGACAAAGAACCCTAACCTGTTGACCACCTAGAAAAACCTCATCTGTCCATGGCCCCCTACGATCCAAAACTTTATCTATGACAGACCATCGACTTTGGTCCGCGATGTAATTGGTGACCCTAGAAGGTCCTGCCTCGACATCTCCAGATACATATTCCACATCCATTGCCACATCATCTGTCGTATGTCCGTTGGTCGAAGGTACTGGGTGAAGAGGAAGATCCTGAAGTAGCATCCTCCATATAGCCCATCCTACTCTACCAAATCCCTCACCCCCTGTCCCATCCTTCCCCCCTAGCCGACGTCGCGCTTCAGTCGTTGTGGGGATGTCAAATAGACCCGAGGCAGATCGGGCGTCGACCATGTGAGAAACGATAGGAGGAGTGTATTCCGGATGACCTTGGATAGTCAGTATTTGGGCGAGAGGTTGTGAGGGTGTGGAGGAAGGGTGGTATTTGACCATTGAATGAATGGGATAACGCTCGGTTTTGAGAAGCAAGTGAAAATCAGGTGGAAGGGTGGGGACTTGATCTCTGTGCTGTTTTCATCAGCCTCATACTTCTAGTCGATACGAACGAATTCACCATTTGCTGCACGTACTATCCGAGTCAGCAGATTATCTTTCGGGGTGATAAGATAAACTCACCACTTTATCTTCTTTACCTTGACCGTCAACATCACCGCACCACCAATATCGACCTTCACTGGTCACTTCATTTTCATACACTCCAATTTCCCAACCGTTATCCCCCTTTACACAGGTACCTCCGAGGGCCATGGCGACCACTTGATGTCCGAAGCAGATACCGACGATTTTGACATGCTGTGTCTCAGGAGTGGTAGCGACACTATGGATAAAATCAATGAGCTCTTTGAGCCAAGGCGTATTATCGTATGCTGAATATTCTATCACGTAAGCAGTCTGTCCGTTCCTTCAGCCCAACACAAATAGCTATTGTCGGTATGTACATGGTCACTAACAGAGAATTACTCACTCGCTCCTGTCATCATGATAGCGTCGTAGCCATCTCGAGCCCCAGCGATAAGCTTTTCATTGGGAGGATACTCCATCCTATCTACCACGTCAAAAGCATCAATGATGAGCTCGGTGTTGGAAGCGATGGCCTGGTCCGGGTAAGAGGCTAAAGCTGTATGAAGCCATACTTTGTATATCTGCAGATCTTCGGGTCAGCATATCTTTGAGACTATTGCAAAGACTCACAATCCCCAAAGTCTTCAAGAACGGCAGGTAACTGATCCCATTAGCAGAAGATAGTCGAGTGAAAGGAAGACGGCTGACTGGAGTATCACACAGGAGCAAAGCGATACGAAGGGTACGTTTGGTCATCTTGACAGTAGTTCAGGTAGCTCTCCACGTCTCTTATGTAGGTGTAGCCAGCCTCCGAAGTGAGTCGAATTGCAGGAGAAGTAGTAGGATGTATGAACGAGAGACAAAGTCAAAGTCAAAAGGAATCGTAAGTTAATCTAAAATATATCTCGACCAATTCCATTGTCGTTGTCGTCATCGTTCTCTTCCACAACTCTCTACTCCCTCACCTCTGTCATTCCGACCTACTACAGTACTCACTACCAGATCCACCTGATGAACTCCCCCACACCCTCTCGTAAGGCTGGACCATCTCGTCGACCTACTCACACCCCAACACCTTCAACTCCCCCTCGACCAATTCCCATCACTCCTGATCATCCCAACCCTTCACGCAAAGGTTCAGCAGCTCTTTCCACTACTGACCGTCGAGCTCGACGAGCTCAACTACGTGACTTTTACGGTCTACCAGGCGATACGCCTCTCAGTGTTTCATTTTCTCCAAAAGGCGGTAGAAAGAAAATTGATAAAGCTGAGGATAAGGAAGGTCAGAATCAAGGTGAGTTTCTTTCATGTTATTGAGACTTTTTGACTGATTGTGGAAAAGGGAAATTTAACGCTACGATATATTATGAGAACCTGATCTCCCGTGCGGACCTAGCCGAGCTCATGGGGACTGCTTCTAAGTTGAATAATGGTCAGTCGGAAGAATGCCTGAATATCGTCAAGCTGACAAGGGAGAAATCGCTGGTTTACATAGTTCTGTAAATTCGTTAGTCTACAACCATCATCATCAGGTAAGTATGTCTTCCTTCACTTTTGACTTTATCATTGAATAATGTATCCTCTACGATATCTCGCTTCGAGTATTTCCTCTAAGAGTAAGATGGATCGCTGGAAGAAAATGAATGGTTGGGAGGATTTTATGTTAATTGATAACTGAAAACGATAGTTATTCGCTGCAGGAGACACTATTGCAGTTCTAAACTCCCGTACTCCCCAACTTTTATCGATAGTTACAAACCTTCAAGATAGCTTTTCTTCAATTTCTCAATTGGTAGACTCTATCGCTCTTCCGGAAATACCACAAGAGCCTATCGATCCGGTCAAGGCGGGCATAAGGAGAATACGTTTGATGGTCATTGCTGAGGGTATGTCAACTTCATCTCACCCCCTCTGCTTTATAACATATTTATACTCCCATCTTCTTCATGTCCAATCAAGTCAGGCAACGCAAAGTGACGAGTACACCGCTGATCGTAGAATCACCTGATGATATCCGAAAGTGTTACACAGCGTTCGAAGATCGTCTGGGAAAAGATGTGGAGTCGGGAAGACCGGGGTCACACGAAGAGTTGGAAGAGTGTCAAAAGATTTTATCTGGTTTACCACCTTTTAAAACACTCGAATTGACAGATCCATGAGATAACGAATTGGGCATTCATTTGTTCATCGTTTTTACATAATCAGCAATAGGGATATAGATTATGCAGGGTATCATTGTATATCGACCATATTTGACGTCAGAGGATCTAGAAACGCTCATTCTGTACTTTCTCTCCCATGCGAAAATTCCTCTTTCAGTCTCTTCATCACAACCTCGTAGCTGTCCTTGTATGGTCCGAGACTCTCCTCCTTGACTTTTACCTTTTTGACCTGTTTTGTGTGCCCGGCAGATTTCAAAATGCTTTTGAAGTGTAACGCTTCCTGCTTCTCCACCAGCGTCCAAGCCGTCCCTGATCGACCAGCTCGAGCTGTACGGCCTACCCGATGAACGTACTTTCGCATGTCCAGAGGGATGTCATATGAGATGACATGGGAGACTGTTGGAAGATCCATGCCTCTGGCGATCAAGTCGGAACAGACAAGTCTCGTGGGTCAGCTTCGTCTAGAGAAGATCTTCTTGTTCCTCCTCATGGCCCTGCTATGCTTTGACCGTGGAAGGTACTACTCTTCTCTAGTCTACCACCTTAAAGCGATATGGAGTGGGGGATATCGATGACGGGCTATAGTAAACATCACACTCACAGTTGCACATCCCCTTGACCAAAAGCGGCCAATAATTTCTTCCGCTCTGCCGGTCGCATATCACTCGTATACCCTTGGACAACCTTACCACCGCCAAACGCGACCTCAAAGTATTCGAGTAGTTTCACGAGTCTCACGCAACTTTCCACGCTTTTGGTAAAGATCAACGCCGAGCTCACAGCATATTCCGGTGAGTGAATGAGATGAATAAGATTGAGAGGTTTGAGTTGAGGAGGAAGAATGAGCATGAACTCCGTAAGAGAAGCGGGAATAGCAAATTGTTCACCTATGCTGTGTGCTGATGGTTGTGCGAGGGATGATTGGATGATGTAGTATCGAGGCGAATTGAGTGAGAGTGAGGCGACTTTTGCCGGATCGCGGGTAAGGGTAGCGGAGAAAAGAAGCTTCTGACACTGCTGATTAGCGAGACTCTTCAGGTCGGGGCATTTGGGAGCAAATAAGCCAGATGTCATTGGGGACACATGTTTATGAGGTGAGACACCACCGTCGCCGCAAAGAAACACTCAACACTCACCTGCTGTTCAGGGGGATCGAGAAGACTATGACTTTTGTCGCCCAGACCACAAGCTGACATCCACAGAGGAGCAACGTGGTCATCAGGCATGATCTCACGTTCTAGTGCCATATTATCGTCGGTCGGCCGTGTATGCCTCAACACCATCATGAGCCAGTCTTGATAGCTTTGATTGAGAAGTCGGTCAGCCTCATCTATTACCTGCAATGTCATAAGCGGACGAACATCACTTGATGAAGTGAAGCTCACGAGAAAACGGAGATGTTGTAAGGTAAAATTAGGAGTTTGACTGAGATGGTCTATGAGACGACCGGGTGTAGCTATAAGTATGTCTACTTTACTTGAGCCGCCTAATTCCCTACAGTGTCAGTGCATTTTGCTCTGCCCGTAACTCATTCGAAATCTGCTGCAAGTGACGGTGCCATGGAAAACAAAAGCATTTAAAGAACATGAAAACAACTCACTTGATCTCCAGATCTTCAACAAGAACCTTTTGTTCATGCGCGAAAGAATGCTGTCCGCCGATGGTTCCGATCTGAAGTCAGTATCGATCATCTCAACAATTGGGCGTTGTGAGGTTGACATGGAGCAGCTCACTTTCAAATCAGTACCTTTCGCCAGCAATTCGAGTGTCTCTCGTACCTGCACTACCAGATCTTTGGTAGGTAACACAATTAACGCTCGAAGTCTAGTGATGGTGCGAGCGGATAAGATTTCGATGATCGGTATGGCGTATGCGAGCGTTTTACCTGAACCAGTCGGAGCGGATATCAGATAATCGTGGAGATTGGCATATTTCAATGGGGTAAGAGAGAGAGGAAGAAGTTTCGGTAAGAGAGCTGCTTGTACTGTATCATCAGCATTTGCATAGGTCTCCGTCGATTGAAAACTGACCAGCGAAAAAATCGATGACTCCCAATTCAGACAACCGGGCACTCATATGCTCGGAGATGGCAGACACCTCTCGACCACGTTGTTGCATTTTAAGCTCGGATAAGGGTATGCGAAGATTTTCCTCAATGAAGGTCGCTTCTTCCAGACCCGTTGGAAGACCTTGCCGAAGGAGGAGATCGGTCGAAGGTGCCGGGACGGCCCTGGGCAGAGGGAAGGCTTGTAATGGTTGGGGTTCATCCTCATCCAACCTGACATCCATTTTCTGAGGTGGCTCACTTTCCTTCTTCTCTAACTCATCCTTCTCTTGTGAAAACTCTGATAAGTCGACTCTTCCACCAGCCGTCACTGCGTCACCTGTTATATGATTGTCAGAGGCAACGGTCGTCTCCGGCTCCGGTGCACTTGACTTTGCAGCCTTCTGCAGGTTTCGTGCTTCTCTTTTGGCCCTCTTCTCGGCTTTCCGTCTGGCTCTTTCCATCTCCTCCGTCGCTGGCCCTCCTTCACCCGAAGTTGATTTCTCTTCTTGCCCCTGTGAACTCTCAGGGATGGATGGTTTAGTGGAAGTGCCCGCTCCAGTCCACCGCTGATTGAGCGTATTGTCAGCCTGTTCATGACAATATGCTTCTCTTGCTCCGCCGACACGTAACCGCATTGGGACGTGATTCCCTCCTCGTGTAGGGTTCCATTCTTTGTGTTTCGGCGCAGCTGCTTTTTTGGCAGAATCCAGCTTGCGCTTTCGTCTCGCTTTCTTCTGGAGGTAACGGGCTTTTGCTTCACTCTATAGTATCAGTCACCTTTCTCAAATCCGGCACGCGGAAATTATGGTAAAAAACATCCCAAATGAGGAGGATGAAGGGAGGGAGGGAGGGAAATGGGTGTCATTCCAGAGAAGGGCCCAACCCACTTTTTTCTTCTTCTTGGGTGCATCAGAAGCGTTGTGTCCCACATAATGATTTCCGACTCCATTGTCGTTTGACCACCGACGAGAAGGATGAACCTCAATTCCCCCACCTCCTCTCTCATCCTCTTGTGAGAATACGACATGTTTGCGTTTGGTAGTCATCGTCAACGTAGGTTTCTGACTGATGACTGGACAATTGACTATGCGAGTACTTAGTGACAACTTTCAGACTTTTCTTAAACCACCGTGGGAAACCTTAGGCTCGATCACACTCTCCTCTCCACCCTCATCGCCGTACTTAACTTATCGAGGTGTACATGGATGTTGTGAACAAGGTATACATATCTCTCTCTGACCTATTGAACTCTGAATATGCCATGGCTCATGAAAGCAGAGCCTGATTCAAGAATAGTTAAAGGAAAAGATGTCAAAGTGAGTAATAATGTCTCCACCTCTCACTCCTTCAAACATTCTTTCGATCTACGGAAAGTGTTGACGTCCAGTTTTCAGTGGATGATTTCGAAGCCTTAGGGTGAGTGTCATTGGTATCGTGAATATCCATACGCTGAGACTAACCCCTTAGGATATCTCAATGGGATGGTATGTCAGACCCTTATCTATTCTTTCACTGGAGAACGAAACATAGAAAGCCTCACCAACTAATGAAAAGGTGTCAGAAATCACGAAGCTAAGAACATTATGAAAGATCGTATGAAAGTTGGAGACGATGTTTTGTTCTATCATAGTAATTGTAAAATTCCAGGTCAATATGTTTCTCTTTATTATATATATTTCAAACATTCTGATGAATAGGTATATTCGCACTTGCGGAAATTGTTCGTGAAGGGTATCCAGATTGTCAGTTTTTGAGATTTATCTTCCCTTACCTTACCTTACCTTCTATCAGTGTAACTTATCTGTGATCAGGTATGCTTGTCCATACTCGGCTTTTAAATTGAACGTAATATGTCAAAACGGAGAATACAGCTGTAAATTCTGAGCTTGAGCTTGATAGTCCAAGTTGGAAAATTCACAATATTGACAGATAGATACCGCTTGGGATCTGTGAGTGTCACGTCTGATGCTACTAGGTTTACGTCAATGAAAGATCTACTAAGATGATAGTGATCATCCGTACTATGATCCAAAAACGGATAAGGAGAAACCGACTTGGTACATGGTGAGTTTTCTCACGATCAAATCACACAACACGATTCCCTCGCCAGATGAGAAATCACTTATTCGACGTGAGACGCCTATGAGAATGCCAACACTATCATTTTATGTATCAAACTTCCCACGCTAGCAGACAAGAAAGACGAAGTTATTGACAGATTACGCTTCTGAGGTATCACACGCTGACATCCAGGTCGACGTCAAATTCCGCTCCCGTTTACTTCATCCACCCACGTTGGCTCTGATAAAACATCTCGCGTCCTCGACAACTCTACCCTCAGAGGTGGAGTATATCGGGTCTGAAGGTTTCAAAGCTGTCAAGGAAATGCAACTTGTCAACCGTGGTAGATTAAGTGAGAGATTAGTCCATCGGCGCTACATACGTAAGCTGATATCAGGTGTGCAGCCGGTCACCGATAAGGCTTATGAGGTCATAAAACTGTTAGGAGAGCGAGGAGGTTGGGAAGGTTTAGGCCAACGTAGCAAGGGTTCAAAGGGTAGGAAAGGACAGAGGGAAGACGTGGTTCAAGAAGAAGATAGACCGGCAAAGAAGACGAAAGGAGGGAGATCGACTAGGACATTGCAATCTAAAACCCCAGACCAGGTTCATACGGAAACCAACATCTCGGACCGTGCTCGACGCAAGCGAAAATCATGACAAAATGGGATCAAACATGTTTGACATCTCTGCACAGGTTCGTAGATCATCATAAATCTGAGTCTCGTTCTTTTTTACAGCTGGCCGCATCATCGCTATCAACACCTAACTTCCAGATTATCGTTGCATGAGGGTGAAAGGGTCAATGACAACCCTTAGGTGGTGGGAAATCATCCGGAACCAGGTACGAGTGGGGCTCGCTCTTCGTCATGGAGTGCACTGCCGGAACCGCGTAACGTGGTGCTGAGTACGTCAGCAGGTAGCAGTGTCAGAGGAAAACTGCTTACTAGAGGGACTTGATGATAGCAAAGAGTGACAGAATGAAGAAGGCAAATGCGGACCAATGAATGAATTTGCTGCTAGTCTGGTGAATGACTATCTCGTTAGTTCTGATCTGCTCTTTTCTTATCAAGTGAGGACCAGAAGATGTTTTAGACTCACAGATAGCAAACAAAGCCCAGGTGATCGCGGCGGCACCAGCAGCATCACCCTCTTTGCTTGCAAACGCGTATGCAGCTGCGGTGGTCTCGAGGAAGACAAAAGCCAGGAAAACGGCGATTTTCGTCCAAATACCAGCCGAGTGAGTGTGAGCGTTGACACCAAAGGCTTCAAAAAGCGACAAGACGACGAGAACGATAGTCCCTGTGAGTCAGAACTGCTCTTATAGCTCGATCAAGATGCAAGCAAAGGAGAGGGATTCTGATGAGGGCAGAGGTGGAACAGGTCATGTAGACGAAACTCACAGCCGTGGAAGAGCGAGAAGGGCAAGTGTACGAAAGCCTCTTCGGCTAGACTTTCTCTAGCCGAATGATTCTTCTTTACGACAAAGTAGATCTGGCTGACGGTCGCGGATACGAGCAAGCTCAAGACGAAAGCGAGGATGTACCAGTGCCTAGCCCAGAAGAAGACGTAAACGGCGTTAAAGATACCAAGGAGAGCAAATCGCCATGCAATCGAGTCGACTATGATTTCTTGACCACGCGTGGTGAATTGGAAGATCATTGTACCAAGGAGGAGTAAATGAATGAGAGTCCATAACCAGAATGCCCAGGATGACGGAGTGACATAGGTCACCTGGATGTTCAGCTTGATACTCATACCCTTCCATCGGTGTTATATGATGGTCATGCACTTACTTTAGAGGAGCCGTACATATCCTCAGGACCAGCGACGGAATATACATTGGAGCCGAGAGAGACGGCGTAGACAATGATGTTCACCACCTGGGGGTTAGTAGATGTAAAAAGTGTCTATACAGGCGGTGCACGGTCGTGAGACAAAGGATAGCCTGAATGATGGTCTACAGACAACAGAAGGTGACGAGAGTGTGAGAATCGCATCAAGCAATGGCGAACAAAGTATGGAGCTCATCGAAGAAAGGATAGCGAGGGAGACAGAGATGGGCAGAAGGGTGATGTATGATGCCATGGGATTCAGCGGCAAGGGCGACTCAGGCTAGCACCACCTATGTGTTAAGAGTAAAAGGCCAGACTGACCTTGATGAGCAGACCGTCTGTGAGTGCCATGGTGTCAGTCGTTGCTTGTTGCTTGTCCTCGTGATTGACGTATAGAAATAAACGGGGTCCCAGTTGAGAGTAGTTGTATGGAAAGCGAGAGGAGAAGCAAGAGAGAGAAGGAGGCGAGCATGGGAGCATTGTCCGACGTCACCTTTAACAGTAGCGAAGCATTACGTCATCATCGCTCCCAGCGGGCCGGGCCAAGTGATCACGTGATACGTTTCCTCGGTGTAAGCGATCCGTGCGGCTGTGTGGCGAGTGGCGAATCCTGATGCCATCAAGAAGAGCCATCATCGACCCAAAACGTTGCAACGTTGACTGACATTCCTTATGTTCCTTGCTCATCCCTGCCTAGTCCTCTACTACCAAGGTCAATTTATGTGTAGATCTCACAGCTCAACACTATCCTTTGCTCACTTCCTTCAATCCATCTCCTTTGTCATCCTCTACATTTCCAACATCGCACACACACACTCACAATCACCAACTGTCCATCTTCCATGTCACCAACCCTTTGATATGCCTTCTTCTTGGAGGGCGTCACTCTTCTTTCAAATTTGTGTATTATCGCTATCCACTTTACCTTACCTAGTAAAAAGTCAAGCTGTCAATACGGCTTTCCCGACCTTACCTCATCCTCCCCTTGGCGTCAGCCTGCCTCCTACCCCTTCCCCTACACCATCTCCTTCACCTCAGCTAGAAAGGCGTCAAGGGGGACCAGCCTTGACCATTGTTACCACAAATGTCAATACCGATACACCGACTGCAACCACCAGTGATTCATCATCGTCCACCAGTCTCACTCTTCTCACCGGACCAGTCCCAATATGGGCCACCATGGGACTTATCATGCCAGATCCCTATTCCAAGATTTACACTGGTCAGTTGAATCCATTTTCTCATGAAATGAAGCTTACTTCAGGGGTCAACTATACATTTGGCTTCGTGGATCCTGTCAAGAGACCAGCACCTACCTTCGGTGGATGGTTGCGTGAAGTGACTCCTCTTTTGACTTTTCCTGATTATACGGTGAGTCAATATCCGTTGACTTCCTCCGCTTTGGACTGATTGAGTGTAGGTCAATGTGTTCAACGCCTCAGGTACAGCAGATCCCAACGACGTCAAAGCATACCCCGATGGAAGCAATGGTCTCTGCGGGTAAGCAGAAATAATGCTCGCTATCTAATTCTGACGATCCAGGGTGACGGCGGAGAACTATGCTGTTCAACTTCCGTTTCGATTCGACCGCCCTGGATGGTATCTCTTTACCATCAATCAAACATGGGCTCAGCCTACGATCGTGAGTACTACAGTTTTCCTCGCTTTCTATTCGCCACCTCGATACGTTTTGACGAATTCAGTAACCAGTCGGTCATTGAAGTTGTCATGTCACTGATATCACAGACCTCTGACGGCCGTTGTTCCGATCCTTTGGTCCAAGAACGATCTTTGTTCTCATGGATGACTTTATCAGTCGCCCCCTCCCCTACAGCGGACGGAGCATCCCCCAGCGACCCGACCTTTCCCCCGTATACATTGTTCCGACAAGTCAGCACCACTTCTCCTCCATCTCTTCCCATCGATCCCGCCCCGTTGGACCATGGCCAAGCTGTGGGAGTTGGAGTAGGGGTCACAGTCGGGGTACTGGCTCTCTTGGCCATGCTGCTCAGTATCATCTGGCTGCGAGCACGGTCACACGTGCAAGGAGAGGTGAGTAGTTTACTTCCAAAAGGTATACGTTCCCGCTAACTTATAGTCACTCGCCTTTTCGAGAATGAATGATCAGGAGAAAGACGAGTTCCTGTCCGCCAGTCCTGGACATTGGTTAGATCCAAATTCTCCGGAGAGATTTAATTCCAGGGGTATCTGGAGGAGGCCGAGTACAACAGATTATCTCAAGTGGCGATGGAATCAGCGATCAGGGAAGAATATGAGATTCATAGACAGGCCCCAAGTCCCTCCGAAAGACCGACCCTGGGTTTATCCTCAACAGAACCAGCCTATGATGGGTCAGATACCGGGTGGGGTGGGTTACGGACAGACAGGGAGGCCAGTACAGTGGGTACAACCAGGCGGGGTATACACTCAAACCCCGTATAACCCACAGGGTGGACCCAATGGGCCCTGGGCTCCGGGATGGGGAGTTGTAGGATAGTCTTGATTCTCGTTAGCATCATCTAGCATAGCATACTGTACCATCTCACAATATTCATTCATGTCCACCAATGGTTTTGCAACTCCTTGACTGATGCCATGTGACTTTGTCACCGTCGACAGCGACTCTTGATCTTGTCCATTTAGCTGCCACACTGCCACATCGGTGAACATTCACAATTTCAACTTTGTTCCACCTCGGTAACCTCTTTTCCATTTTGACTCTCCTTCTCGCTCATACATACTCGTATCTCTAGCGCATTCCTCCCTCGGCTTAAGGTCAGTCGTAGGTCGTAGGGGCGATGGAGATCAGACCGATATTGAGGGCAGTGAGAGTGCCCCGATCGGCCTTTCCGGGATCCTGTAACATATCGTCGCTTCGTCATGGTCTCATCTCTTCTCCTTTCCGAGTAGGTCAATATCCCAATGATACGCTCCATGCTTATGGGACGCAGACCACCATAGTACCCCTATCCCACCACATATTCTTCATTGCAAAATCACGCGGGTTCACTTCATCCCACGTTATCAGATCCGAGCCCGACTCCCTCACTCCGTTTCAAGCTCGAATCGCCGCCTTGGAAACCACAGCTCTCACCAAGAAGGAAGATGAAGCTTCTCAACTCGCTCTTCTCAAGGAACTGATTCAATCTAATGAGGCTGCCGGTGTGGTCAAATATTACGAAGCAATGGCGCTGGCGGAGGATGCGACGGGCAGTACAGCACTGCTCAGAAGTCAGGAGGGGTTTCAACTCTATGCCGAAGCCCTCGGACGACTAGGACGTTTGGGTGATATAGCTGGTGTGGTGAGACGTAGAGATGCTCTATTGACCGGATCTACCCTACCCTCTCCTTCTTCCCCGACTACAAGCTCAGTCACACCTCAAACCCTCCCACCTACGTCCTCAACCTCGACAGAGTCTTCTTCAACACCGTCTCCACTCTCACCCCTGCTTGCTTCACTCCGAAATCCAAACCAACCTTTGACATCGTCCTCGTCAAACCTAACCTCCCCGACCACAGCGGCTATCTCGGGACAGCCAGGTACAGCTCTTTCTCCGATTTACGTCCAAATGGCACCCCCAACTCCTCAGGCGACTCTCATGCGAGCGGTCCGTTGGGTGCTGGGTTTATGTATCTGGGTTTTCGTTGCGATGACAATCATGGGGATGCTGCTTGAAAATACTGGTCTAATGAAAACGGGTTCCACACCCACTGAGTTTCAGCCCGAGGAAGGTAGAGTGGTCAAATTCAGTGATGTCCATGGTGTGGAGGAGGCAAAGGCGGTGAGTTCGATCCACTACCTGTCTATACCTTCCCTCAGCATCTCTCTATTGACCCGCGAGGTCAGCAGAATTATTTCAATAACTGACAGACGTGGGATATGGCTGACGTTTCAGGAGCTTGAAGAGATTGTCGAATTCCTTCGTAATCCTGAAAAGTTTTCAACCCTTGGAGGCAAGCTACCAAAAGGTGTTCTTCTCACTGGTCCTCCTGGAACGGGCAAGACCATGCTCGCACGCGCTGTTGCTGGAGAAGCTGATGTTCCTTTTCTTTTCGCCTCTGGTTCCAGCTTTGATGAGATGTTCGTAGGTGTTGGAGGTGAGTGCAACTCTTCACCTTTCAGCAGCCTTGCTAATCATCCAGCCAAGCGGGTCAGGGAACTATTTGCAGCTGCTCGAAAGAAAGCACCGGCTATCGTCTTTATTGACGAACTGGATGCTATTGGTAGTAAAAGAAGCGCGAAAGATCAAGTGAGTCGATCAACTTGTCGTTGTGAACCCACTGACCTCCAGCACTACATGAAGCAGACTCTGAATCAGTTACTGGTCGAATTGGACGGCTTTGAGAGCTCGGAGGGTGTCATCATCATTGGAGCTACAAACTTTCCCGAGTCTTTAGACAAAGCTTTGACGCGACCGGGGAGATTTGACAGACACGGTGTGTTCTTCATCGACGATGAGAGTTGAGCTGATGGCGTAGTTGTTGTTCCATTGCCAGACGTGAGAGGCAGAATCGAGATCTTGAAACACCACATGTCAGAAGTCCAATTCGACGTGGATGTGGACCCAAGCATCATCGCCCGGGGTACGCCAGGCATGTCTGGTGCCGATTTGCAGAATCTTGTCAACCAGGTGCGCCCATTCTGCCCTTCCTCGACAGAATGGTATTTGGTGACCCTCAGGCTGCCGTCAAAGCTTCTAAAGATGGAGCTTCACATGTACAGCTCAAGCACTTTGAGTGGGCCAAAGATCGCATTCTGATGGGTGCCGAAAGAAGATCTCATTTCGTCACCGAAGAGTCCAAACGTGCCACTGCGTATCATGAAGGAGGACATGCGCTGGTAGCTCTGCACACCCCTGGAGCGTTACCCTTGCACAAAGTGTGAGTTTATCACAAATAGGCTGCTGCCGGGCTGACACTTTAGCACCATTATGCCTCGTGGTCAGGCCTTGGGGATAACTTTCCAGCTACCAGAGCAAGACAAGGGTGATTGGCCCTTCCAAGTGATGCTAGGCTGACAAATAGATTCTTATACCCGGAAAGAATACTTGGCGATGATAGATGTCGCACTTGGAGGACGAGCAGCGGAGGAGATGATATCTGGGTATGATGATGTTACCAGCGGGTGTTCTAGTGATTTACAACGGGCAACTGATGTTGCGGCCAGGATGGTTCGAGTGAGTCATCTTTTTCTCCCCGTGTCGTCAGTTGAGCCAAGGTAAAGCTGACTTGTATAGAGTTATGGATTCAGTGATAAGATCGGCTTGGTAGCTCATGGTGATGATGAAGCATATTATCTCTCAGGGAAGAAAAAGGACGAGATAGAATCCGAGATTAGATCGTAAGTTTGAATCAGCTCTACCACGCGATACGGATACAGTCTTCAGCCTTGCATTAGAATCAGATCTGTTTCTTGATGAAAGCGCGGGAAGTTGGAGGGAGGGCGAAGCTGATCATCGCAGGTTTTTGGAGAAAGGCATGTCTCGTGCTCAGAAGATATTGAAGACAAATGAAGATCAGTTACATAAGCTTGCGGCTGCTTTGGTGGAGTATGAAACTCTTTCAAACGATGAAGTCAAACTTGTTTTACAAGGACGTAAGTTAGATCGAACCACCAATCAAGGAGAGCGTTTAGTGGGAGAAGCTGAGAAAGAAGCCAAGGGAGAAGTAGTGGAAGGTATCTAGGGAAAAACAAATATACTTGTTGCATTTGCATGGTCATTTGCATGACGTTTTTCAATCAGAAGCTATGTAAAGTACTCGTACTCGAACAGGATAATTTCCTGACTGACAAGGACCATGATGATTTAGAATCCAAACTTCATTTAGTAGTCATCTACAGTATACCATATCAATTGCTTTGTTCGACAAATACATCATTTGAACAAATTTTTTTATCATGGACCAGCGTCGACGATTTCCTTCAAATGTTTCTCGACGAATTTAGTATGAGCACTACCATCAGTTACTCTAACATTGCTTCGTAGTCTTCACTCATGTACTTGATTCTCATGATGACTCACTAAGGATTAAGGTTATCAGTACAAACTCCCTTAACTATACCTTGACGATCTACGAAGAATGTAGCACGTTCTGATATTTCAGCTCACTCGCTCCTTCCTACCCTTTCTAAACTTGTGTAAAAACTCTACTGACGACAGACGAATGGTGATAATTTTCAATGACTGGAATCGTTTGGAAAGATAGAGATAAGATAAGATACGGAATTCAAAATTGATACTATTAGTAGGTAGTAATATTAAAGATGACATAAGTACTTACCGGGTATAGCTCCGAAAAAAGCTCTTCCCACTTTAAAAGCTTTACGTGCTTCACCATTCATGTCAGAAACAATAGGATATGGTAGATTTTCTTTATCAGCGAAGGCTTGTTGTTTCACTGTTAGATCTGGTTATCAGTTATCAATTACCAATTATCAATTTGTTTCCTCGGGATATCTCTTCTCTTTAACTTCAACTTTCTTCTCTTCTCTTCTCTTCTCTTCTCTTCTCTTCTCTTCTCTTCTCTTTCATTCTCTTTCATGAAGGACGAAAATATCGAGGATATTTTAGTGGATCTTAAATTTACAATGTGATGGCAAGTGACTGTTAATTTGAAAAGATATTTCATCACTCACCTGCGCTCACACCCACTATGGTCAAATCGGGGTGTCTAGTAAATACCGGATTTTCTTTGATCGCATCGCGGAAAGAACAGGCTTCTATGGTACATCCCATAGAACCGCTTTGTGGGAACTGGTCATTAACATCTTCCTGTCCACCCGTTTCTTATCACTTTATTTGAGGTTTGAGGTTTGTATATGAGAAACAAATGAACGAGATTGATTGAGATTTGAGGTTTGCATAAAAGAGACAAATGAACAACATTGTTGAACCATAGGTAAGTCATGGAACAGGAGGAGAGAGGTGACTTACGAAGAAGACGGCAAGTGGCTTGATCAGTCAGCATCATTTTCATAGTGTATTCATGGAATTATTCCATTGTCAGGTTCTTGTATTCGCATCAGAGACGTGCAGGAGATAAGATGAAGTACGGATAGTATAGTAGTAGCTTAGCTTATTCAGTGGGAAGGATTTCTGAAGTAAGTACGAAGTAGGCCTCACTCACCTTTTCACCAACGGGCAGGACGAAGGGTTCACCTTTTGGTATACCCGGTAACGTCAATCGAGGAGCAGGTTTTCCAATTAGAGGATGATCTTTGCCCATGTCGTGATCACTGAATAAGGTTCTTGGGCAAAGAAGACAAAGAAGTAGTAGTGGTTGAAGGGAGTGACGAATTGTAAGTTTAAGAGATATCCAGATTGAGTTTAGCTACCATGGGGTCCCATGGTAACCGTTGTCAAGGCGGGAAGGGTCTAGAGTTTGCATAACGCTATCATCATAAAGGCTGGTTGCTACTGTAGCTGCAACGGATCGTCGGCCGGTCGGCCGTCGGTGATCATGAACAGCGGTGTAGATGTTACGTACGATTTATAAGATGATCAAGTACAGTATTACACTACTTCCAGCCATACACCCTAAACCTCAATCACACCGAGTTCATCATCTTCATCCTCCTCCCCATGAACCGAAGAAACCTTTACTAATTCGCTCACCTCCTCGACCCGAGTTTCATGACTCTCTTCGCCCTGTAATAATGACACGAGTCGTTCGATGGCTTCTTTGATCTGGGGATCTGTCTCCACTTTGTGAGCTTCGCGGACGACAAAGTACGCCCCTCTACTTCGGAGCGATTGACGTCCAGTAAAGGCTAGTTATGTTAGTATTGTTACAACCTCTCCGTTAGGGTCCAATCCGATGTTGGACTTAAAGCTTGATATAAGTGAGTTTAGAGGGATATTAGAAGATCCGGTCATGTAGTAGGGATAGAAGGAGAGAATCTGTAGGAGAAGGTGTCTCATCTTACATACGAGCACGCCACCAAGTGACAAGTGGGGATATAACAGAGAGACCTACTTGTGGCGAGCAGTAATAAAATTTCCACACACATCATCCTCAACACTATGTCCTTCTCTCTAACTTTTGTATCTGGCAGAAATTGCAGTGATAAAGGCAACTGCTCCATCTCTTCCATGTCATACTCTTCCGCACCCATGAGCGGACTAAGCACCCACGGCAAAACGTCTACCCCTCTGACCATACGCGATGGATCTGAAGGAAGTTTAACTCGATCGTCTGACAGACATCAACACCGAACACTGAAACTCAACGATTGGAACTCACTCTCACTTGTCAGCAACCATGCGTGGGACCCACGGTCCATGGCACAATTCTTTATACAACCCAAAGCTCCACCTCGACGTATCGTATCGGAGTGTTCCGTATATACGACAATTTTGGCGAGTAATGGTTCATCTACATCTGACGGGGCCGAAGTGGAAGGATTTGGAAAGGGAGGTCTAGGGACAAGTAATAACGATCTCGTCGTCGGAGCCTGTATGATCAGCAACATCATATGACTGAAAGAGAACAAGCGGATGTACCATACTGATATTGGCAAATACTGAAGCGAGGAAGTGACATTCCCCTTTTCTCTTTCCTCGACCTTTCTTGACATCTACCGAAGCCCCATCGGCGAAAGCCTCGGCTAGTGCCCTAACAGCTTCGATATCCGTTTCTTCCTCTTGACCGACAAGCTCGTTGAGACGACCTATTGACGGTCCCCAGTAATCGGGGTGAATCGTTGAAGAGATAGAAGCCGAGGCAGGGAAGTAGTAAGGAGGGTAATGCGACGATTTGGGTAGGCGTGAGATGGGAATCTGAAGAGATGCAATTATCGGTAATAAGGTAGGGTGTGAAGTCAGATTTGAAAGTAACATTGATGTCAATGGAGAAAGGGTTGATGTCGTATTCTATACCAAGATGAGCATCATGACTTGGTACTGAGGAATCACATACGGCTGTGTAAGATACTAGCCACACCAAAAACTCTTGGTCGACCATATGCTGGGCAGCAGCCAAAGTGTCTGATAAGTTGATCAATGCCGATAAAGCGTCATGGGCGATGAACTGATACCCATGAGCGGTTGGACCTAGCCGAGAAAGGGTCGACATACCGCCTGATCTCTACAGAGAGATGTCAAATCTTTGATAGCTTTTATCTTGACATTATCGCCATCTGAATCTATGCTCCGTTTCTGAGGAATGAGACCGGTACTGTGGTGTCCGAGGGAGGAGGGGAGGAAGATATGCCTGTCAGGGTCGGATTTGGCGGTATGGCCTACAAGGTTCTGCAGAGCTAGATGCCTAGCCGAAGGGTTTGGAGAGTCAAGGAATTGGAATAAGTCTACGAGATCAGACATGACTTTATTCAGATAGTAAGAGCAGATAGCATAGGTCTCTGTGATCTCTACTGTACCTCTGTCCTGCTGGGCTTATTTCTGCAGACTTTT